AAATTATTTTTCCTCACAGTATTTTTAACAATCTGTAATTTAGAAAAGTAGTTTTGAGTGAGCCTGGCTCTGAAAGTCATCTCAGGTGGAGGGAAGTTCAGAAGGCAGGGCATTCCATTGCTGCCAGTGACTTACAAGTCCAGTTCTGCCCAGAAGCTTCAGTCAGGCTGATGTACTCATCATAACTGATCTGTGGACTTTATTACTTAAAGAAAGGAAAGTTTGAAATAAACGTGCACATTTTCCCATTTCCTCCTACTAATTAAAGCATGAGATTTATCAGTTTATGGTCTAAAAAAAATCATTAATATGATGTGGTACTAACCAGTCATTTTAGCAACTAAATTACGAGAACCTGTTTATTTTTGTTGTATTCCTGAATACTGTACTTTAAGCATTTTGTTAAAATATTTTTAGTGTCAGATTTAATGCCTCAGATCTTTCTGTTCCACCCTTTCAAAGGCCCTTACAGTGATACTTTTTTCTTTTTCCTCAGGGTGACCAGATGCAGGTCATTCCCATACCAAGTGTATGTATTTTTATCCCATTTATTTTAATAATTTTCATAGTTTTTGCTTTTGTTCATTTTATATTATGTTGGAGTTGACTAGATCTGTTCTGTATTGCATGTTACAAGACTTTTGTTTTCTAATCTGTAAGGTTGAGGTAAATCACCTTATCTGTGTGTATAAGGTATACAGATAAAACTAATTAATAGGAACAAAAGGACAGTCCAGCTTTGTAAAACTGCCATCCACACCTGTCCATCATGTAACAACTTTGAATTTTGTCACTTTGAAAATGTATACAGAAGTACTCAAAATCCAATAAACTGACATTATTTAACAACCATTGGGGGGGGGGGGAAATCACTGGTACTAAATGGGCAGAGCTATGGCTCAACAAATCCCACATCTTGGCAGGGGGTTAAAGTAGATGACCTCGTGGTCACTTCTAACCCTACGGTTGTAGAAACTATGGTCCTTGTATTTCCTCAAGCCCCAGTTATTTAAGATGAGGAGTTGGAGATTAGAATCTGCAAAATGAGGCGTTAATTTTCTTGGCGCGAGCTACTAAAGAGTATTACAGCAACCCCACTCACGCTACTGTAGTTGTTTAAGATGGTGGTTTTATTATGTATCATAGTTTTCTGGGCCTAGCAGATCTGTTTATATCACCTGGTTCAAACTTGAAATACAGGTTGTCAGATTGGAGTTATTCAAAAGCAAATAAAAACATTTGATACTCTGAGCTAGAGATATTAAAAGTTGTTTGGACTCAAGCTTTTTTGGCAAAGCATTGATCATTCTTAAGCTGCTACTAATCTGGAATTTGGGGGCGGGTTAATGTTTTTTTTAATTGTAGATAAGCTTTTCAGGACTTCATGTGCAATTACTCTTTTACCATTTACAGTAGAGATTTAGTGCCACAGCAAAGCAATGTCAATGCAAGTCTTTGGGGACACTGATATATTTCACCTCTTGCAGGTATCCTAAATCTCAGAAGATCTGAATATTTCTCTGATTCTCCTATTTTTCTTGTATTCCCCAACACTTTAAGTCCCAACATTGAAACCACTATATTTTGGACCCTATTAATACCATCGCTTACTAGTGTTGAGATTAGTATTTTAGCCAGCCAGATCTCTTCTCTCAATCACCATCTTTTCCTGGATCTAAAAAATTGTTGGAAATTATACTTGATCCAGGACCATTGCTTCCTATTTGGTAGTCCTGAACCAGTGCCAAAAAAAGCATTACACTGAAAAACCAGTGGCAGTTTAAACTTGCTATCTCTTAGATCAGAGGTGGGGAACCTTAGGCTCAGGAGCAAGATGTGGCCCCCAGCTTGCCTGGATCATGCGCCCGAGGCTCAGCATTGGGGAGCCAGTGCTGGCGCTCCAGTTCCCCTGCCACCCACTCTCAGAGCTGGAGCACACAATATCTACTAGTCTGAGCCCCCTAAGCTCTGGTGTGCAAGGACAATGTGGGGAGTGCCTTTTTTCTTCTCAGTCAGGGGTTTCTCACTTTGCTTCTCCGTTGTATGTGGCCCCCGACTGATTTTTTTCTGTGAGTCAATGGCCCCCAACCCAAAAAAAGGTTCCCACCTCTGTCTTAGGTGATCAGAGCTAGAAGGAAAAGTCATATATCACTAGAAACCTGGAAATACCTACTCTTAGTGATGTATCGTTTTCACTCCTAGATTACTATCTTGCTTTCCAACTTCAGTTCTCATCATTTTAGCAGCACTGACAATGACTAGAACTAGACTCAAGTGCTGATAGCTCTCTCACCATATCAAAGCATAGCACCCAGCTTTAAATGGAATAAAGCATTAACTGTCTGACATGAGATTTTGCTATTCGTAAAATATAATCACAACACTGCAAATAACAGGAATGCACTAAAGCTTGGCTGTTGACTATTGCTATGAAATCATTCAAGTTCGCTCATTACAAATATAGACATCTTAACAGAAACAGCAAACTCCTTTTATACGAAATTAAGCATTCTTTCAAAGACGTACTATATTTGAGACTTCTTAAACTGTGCACTATCAGAGAGCATTCTGCCACTTTTGATATTTCCCTGGTAAGAATGTCCTTTTGAGTAAGAAATTCCAAAGCTATATCCTCCTGATTTTAAGGAAATAGCTGAATTAAATGGTGAAGTTGGGATTTGATGTGCAGCGTGGATGATGCTCTGTAAATAAGACAACTGTTCGCTATTCTTATTGTTCAGGTGTGGCATGTCTCTTACACTGCACATCACCTAACCACTGCTCTAAAGAAGAACTTTTCTTTATTAATACACTTTTTTTTATTAGAGTCCCTGCTATGGTATCGTAGTTCTCAAATATTACTGAACTAATCTTCACAGTATCCTGGTGAGGCGAGAAAGTTCTGAGATATTATCATTTAAATAAAGACTGAATCATCATGACTACATATAAATGGTCAGGGTCAAAGGGTTTTTTTATGTGCCCCTTTGTACTGTTAATGCAACATGCATCCTGAGCACTGAGATCCTAATGCTTTTCAATCTATAAGGCATGTAAGCCTCTGTTGAAAACCCATTGATGTCAGTGAGTCTAAAGCACATGCTGAAATGCTTTCTGAAGTGGGGTTGGAATGAGGAAGATACCTTTTGGTTGAAATACCATGTGATTATGTAGCTAAAGGTTGCACCCTAATGTTTACTATGAAGATACAAAATTGAAATTACTTAAACAACCTTAATTTTGTTTTTAACTTATATGCTTCACTTATTTAATCATTTAATATATTAACTGTTTAATAATTTTTAAATTTACTAGATTTCTAAAAAGAATTAGAGCTCTACTAGATTGTACAAGTCCCTATATGTTAAAACTGAATATCCATTCAGTTTTATGAAGCATATACGCACAAATGTAATGACCTGCTGAGATATCATCTGTGAAAATTTCTAATTACTTTTTGCATGTCTGCATAACACCGGTGTAACATCGAAATGTGATTGGCTTTATTGTATTGAAAACAATTCACCTGCATGAAGTATGGTTTTTTCAACACACAGAACATGGCAAATTTGCAAATTTTTCTCCTGACCCCAGAAAGGCACCTATGTGAGAAATCACATCCCTATCCAAATTTAATTTTCATCGGCACTCGCGGAAGAGCCTGCTCCTGCTTTTAAAAATTATTACTGCAGAACTGTTCTGCTTTTCTGTATGATGTAGAATATTGCATTTAAATTTGTAGGGGAGGAATACAGTTTAAGAAACACTGGTGTAGTAACTAGACCAGTGGTGACAGGTGTTTGTTGGACCTGTTCTTTAATGTGGTTTCCACAATCTCCCTAGGCAGTTTCAGTGTTTAACTACTTTGACAAGATTTTTCTAATATGTAACCTAAACCTCCTTTGCTGCATTTGAAGCCCATTGTTTCTTCTCCTATCCTCAGATATGAACAAGAATAATTTTTCATCCTCCTTCTTCTAACAGTCTTCCGTGTAGTTATCTATTATAAGGACTGCCATACTAGGGCATACTGAGCTATCTGCCCAGACCCCTGCCCTCTCCCAGAGCCAGCACTCATGCCCTTCTCCTCTGTACCCTGAGCCTGCCTCTCAGATCCAGCATGCTGCACTGCCTCCTGCATCCCAACCCCCTGCCCCAGCCTGATTAAAGTAGTGAGCAGGTCTGAGCTTTGGGGAAGAAGGGACATTGGCCACAGGGAAGGATCAGGGTTTGCCCTTAAATTCAGAAAGAGATCTTGGGCATGAAAAGGTTTGAGACCACTGTTGTAGTGTCTTAGTAACGTTAGCATTAACAAATCTCAAGATGTGAATGCTATCAAATTTCATTTTTAACCTTTCTGGAGCCTAAAGCATTGCATTCTTGAGAAATGGTTGTTTGCCATTAGTTGACTCGTCAAACGGAAAACCAGAATGCCTGCATATTCTGTCAGAGAATGTAGTATTTCTTCAATTCACTTGAGACACTTTTGATCGATCATTGTTTTTGATGTCTGTTATGCTAATTAAGAGCATGGAAAGCTGAGATGAATACATAAGTCCTTAATTGTGACCAGTTTAATAACTTTCAAAGAGACAATATCTACTGTAATATGCATAAAGTTTTCATTTTGATGGAACAAAAGGCTCAGCAAGTACTTAAATGTTGCTTGTAATTTAAAAAGTCAACATTTGATCCCACAGTGTTTGTCCAAAAGAGTTATTTTCTACTCTGTTCTGATGAAATACTGCAGTTTTTCAGATACTGCTGTGTAGTAAGTGAGAGTCTTTGCTGTCTTATGAATGGTGACCACTGTTTGTTGCACTTGAATTACTAAAAAGCTTGTTTTTTTTTTTTAAAGCAAACTGGTCAAGAGCTTGAGATCTCATTTTCATCATCATAGTTTACCTTCATTGACTAACTATCATGAAATATCTGCTAGTCATAATTTTTCTAGGGCATTTCTCCAGCTGTCTTCATGTAGGTCAATTGAAATGGTTTTAAAAAATACTACTACGGAAATTCCTGATTCCTTTTCCTTTCCTTGGATATAAGCTCTGCTACAATTGGGTAGAAAGTGCTTCAGTTTGAAGGCTTGGATGTCACCTAAATTGAGTTACTGTCAGATATACACATCCCCTATGTTCTTTAAGCTAGCCAGGTGTTACCTTATGCTGAATTCCTACTCAGGATATTTAGTTGACACATGAATTGTAAAACCTTTTCCTTCATAATTCATATTTTCCACACTCCTTTATCTCTGCAGGAGAAAAGAGCCTTCACATGCTAGATAGCACCAAGGGCACTGCATGTGAAGAATCAAATGAACTAGGAACCAGAAACCCATTGCTTATTTCCTCTGATCTTCAGACATGCAAACTGTTGAGAAAGTTTAATGTTTAGCATAGGGTCCCTTTAGTCATTCTGTTTTTCAAGCAGGATTAAATTAAATCCAGCTTTGTGACAGGGATCTGAATGGCAAGTCGTAGGACCCTGCCTGAGAACATAACACTTTTGTTGCATCCCCATGCACTCAGATGCTGTAACTCTGTATGAAGATGTAATAGATCTACTATTGCATCAGTCAGTCACAAGGCTGAGCAAAATATGGCTCGGGGACCGGATCCGGCCTGCAGACCACCCTGCCGGGACCCTCAGACACGCAGCTGCCACGGTTTAAAGCACAGTCTATGCAGCTATCTGGTCTGCAAGGAGGGGAGAAGCTTTGTGTGATCTCCTGAACCCAGGACCAGTCCTCAGCTTCTATTGACTGGAAACAATCAGCCAATAGGAGCTGAGAGAGTGGCCTGGAAGATGAGAGCAACACCAAAGGTGCCATTTCGAGCGCATAGAGGAGGCAGCAGCTGTGTGCTCCAGGATGCAGCTTGCTTTTTATCTCGTTCCCCAGACACTAAAGGAGTGAGGGGAAAGTGCTAACATTCTGTGCGTGCCTCTCACACCTGGCTGGTGAGCTCCCTTCATGGCTGCTGCCCCCCCCCCATCCTCCTTTGGGAAACACGCTTCTTCCCCCTCCCAGAGCTGAGAGCCATGTGGAGGGAACAGCCTGTAGTTTAAAATATCTGGGGCTGCAGCAGGCAGGGAGCCTAGCCTGCCTTCAGGATGCTGCAGGGCTTTTGGCTTACTTAGGTAAGCATCTCCCAGCCAGAGCCAGCCTCTGGCACCCTAGCCCCTCCTGCATTCCAACTCCCTCCCCCGGTGACTATCCAAACACTCTGCACCCTCTTACCCCAGGTCACAACTCCCTCCCAGACTCTGTACCCCCTTCTACATCCCTCCCCCAGGCCAGAATCCTCTCCTGCACCCAAACACCCTCCCAGGCCCTGCACCCCATTTTCCTGCCCCAGGTCACACCCAAGCCCTCTGCAGACTGCACCCCTATTTCCTTTCTCCAAGGTCACAATTCCCTTCCAGACTTTGCATCCCCTCCTAGATTCTCCAGGCCAGAATGCTCTCCTGCACCCCCATACTCCCTCCCTGACCCTACATCCCAATCTCCTGACCCAGGTCACAACCCCCTCCTTTACACAAACTCCCCATCAGACCTCACACCATCTCCTGCACCCCAGTTCCTTACTCTGTGCACCCTTCTGCACCCAACCTCCATCTTAGACCCCACATCACCACCACCAAAAAGTGTAGCCCTTGATCACTTTCCAATATCTTGGAATGGCCCCACCACCACCAAAAATCTATCAGGTTGATTCCAGTTAACACCAACCCAGGAACAAGAGAGGCAAGTGTCTCTTTGGAGAAGAAACTAGGGGTTAAGACAGGGGATCCTGCAAGGAAAACCCTAGATGAAGACAGACTTTGGGAAAGCTTTGTCTATGTTTTGTGTGTAGCGTTCCTTGAGTTAAGGCAAATCTCCAGGTAGCAGGAGAGTTCTGTTAACCGGGTATGTGAATGTGCTGAATGGAGACAGAAGGATGGAGATACATTTGTTCCACTCATTACTTTGCTGGTTTTAGTGCAGTGGTCCCCAACCTTTTTTTATACTGCTGACTGGCAAACCCATTAACAAACTTTTGGCGGACTGGTAATATTTTGTGCATATTCGCATATTCGTTATGCAAATAAAATATTACTGGTCTGCCAAAATATGTACCCCAACTCTAACCCCCAGAGCTACTGTTAACAGCCAGCTTCATGAAAAGCTGAAGTTCCTGGAGCTAAAGCTGGTTGCTGTGCAGTGGCTCGGGATGAGCTGGGGTACACCTCACTCCTGAGCTATCGCACAGCAGCCAGCTTCCTAGAGCCATGCCGCCAGCCACACACCCAGGGTCTACCCCAGCCCCATGGGCGTGGCCTGGTAGTGGACCGTGGCCTGGCAGCCAGCAATTCACGGCCTTTCACTGGGCTGCGGACCAATGGTTGGGAGCCACTGGTTTAGTCAAAGCAGCTTCAAGTGGAAAGAGAAGGGAATGCAGTGCTACTTGGCCCAAAGTCAAAGGCTGTTAGCTTCTTTTAGTTGAAAGCCTTTGAGACTTGTAATATTCTCAGCAATATTCATTCAACAATATTCATTCTCTTCCTGGTTTTGGTTTGATCAGTTGCCAGGGAGCAGTCATTGGTTCTGCATGATAATGCATATTAGGCAACCAATCTTGCCGTGAATTTTTTATCATGCTATTAATGCACCATACACAGCAATATCAGTCTTTGTCACAATCCCTGGTTTGGTTTTAGTCTGCAATAGTTATCTCGGCTGTTCTAATTCCACCTGAATAATATATTCATTCAGTACAGCTTATTACTAAGGGTCCAGAGAATTCTATTGACATATATTTTTCCTAAGAGACTTAATTGGGGGGGAGGAAGGAGAACATGACACACAGGGCATTCTTTTCATGACTTTTTCCTGGAGTTTATCTATTTAAAAAATAGATCCTGTTTCATGTATAATGGAACATTGGATGGTATCATGCATTTATATCTTAATTGTACTTTTGAATCCTTTAAACTGTTAGTAAAAGCAATCTCCATGTAGCAAAAAAGTTGCTATGCACTTAATGTTACCATTATGCACTTTGAACTGCTAATACAAATTGTTCTACTGTTAAATGCAAAAAAAAACCACCCCAAAAACTAACATGCCTTAAAATAAAAAAAAGTATTACCTCAAGAGGCATGATGGTCTTGTAGCTAAGATACTGAATCTCAGTTTCTCATATGTAAAATGGGGATAATTTCTCTCCCTCAGTGTCTTGTCTATTTACATTGTAAGTAAGGATGTTAAGAAGCGGGTAATGACTAATCGTGTACGATAAGCTGTGGCTCTGCAATTTAAATGCAATAGGAGCTGGGCACACAAGTAGTTCGGCTCCGAATATATTTAAACTGCAGAGCCACAGTAGGGGTAGGTCTGGGGTAGATCCTCTGCTGCAGCTTTGCCTTTTAGATGTAGAAAGAGCCAGGCAGCTCTTACTACATTTAAAAAGCAGAGACGCAGTGGTCTGGTACCCGCCTGGCTTTTACTACATTTAAAAGGCAGGCGGGTACAGGGGGATCCAGTGAGCCAGGACTGTGAGCAGTCCCAGCTTGCATCGGCTTTGGGACCACTGCGGCTCTGCCTCCTCTGGCCCCTCCCTCTGTGCACCATAGAGACAGTGCTGGGGAGAACTGGCTTTTAACTGATTCCTGGCCCCGTGCAGCAGGGGGACTCGGCAGGGCAATATAATGACTTCACAAGTGTCTGAAGCTATTTTCATAAAAGACTATTTTATTAAGATGGACCTAAAGTTCCATTATTTATCTAATTTGAATTGCCATAAAGCCTTGGGGCCCTATTATTACACCAGAATCCTATTGTGCTATGTGCAGCACCAGTATGAATAAAAAGGCTGTCCTTACCCTATAAACTTACAATTTATATAGACCACATATATGCAAAAGTAGAAGATAAAACCCTGGGGATGGTGGAGTCTTCCCCTTCTATTGTAATTTCAGTATTGTTTTTAAACCCCTTCCTATGGGTTTTAACTAATTAACAAATTTAATTTCGTAGCCATGTTGAACATCTTACTTTATAGCCAGCCTCAATTTTCCATCCTTTTCAGAACTAACCATTCATTAAACATTAAAGACACCCTTAAGAGTGTGGCAACTCAGCACTATCTCAGCTTCTTTAAATACCTAAAAGATGTATCCTCCCCCCTTCTAGTTCCTTCATGTGCTGCTGTGGTAAATGATGAAATCTGGTACCAAAGTGAAAGAATGGTACAATGAATGTTTCAACTCAGGATGCTAGGTCAGGCAGTGGATCATGCCCATGCAACCTTCTCCTGCCCCAGCTGGAGTCTGTGTTCCCCAAGATATTGCACCATTTATAGACAACTGGAGGTGGAAGTGTGTGGATCTCCCCATTATATTTTGAGTTTCACCTTTGTAGTGGGTACTGGCTATAACAGAGCCAAGTTTGATGGAACTTTCATTCACTGCATTTTTATTCTTGTGATTCTGTAGTCACAGAACACTTTAACAAGTGGTTGGAAGTAGTCCAGAACCCCATTCTGGAAATGACCATCACCAGTCTCATTTGACTTCAGAATTGAGGCTTGCCATTCAGTTACTTCATCATAGTATGCATCATGGCAAATGGAAGCATTGAGTTTCACAGTCAACCTTGTATGCTGTGGCCAGAAGCTTGCTTCCAATTACTGTTTTAGACTCTGAAATGGAGAGGAAGATAAAATGCAGCTAGCTAGCCTATATTCTGAGGCATGAGAAAGTAGGCCAGTAGAGAAGGTGAGTGCCTCTGATTGTATCCCATTTCCACCATTGACTTTAGCTACCCAGACTGTTTTGCTATGTTCATCTGTATTGCTTAAATTCATCTCCAAAGCATCTGATATTCATTCACAAAATAAACAGTACAGAAAGCAATTTGTATATACCATGGGAGCTTTCATTTCCAACTGTGTATTGTAAGCTGGCACAAAAAACTATTAAATCTTATAACTCATATCTGTGTCTTTCTGTTGCTTACTGCTATTGTGTAGTGCTGGGAGTGTACATCTTTGGTAAATGTACAGAAATTTAAATTTTTCATTGTACTAATTTTTCTTTAGCCACCTGCTAAATACCTCCTGCCAGAACTGACAGTATCGGACTATGGGAAGAAATGTGTGGTCATTGATTTAGATGAAACGTTGGTGCACAGTTCATTTAAGGTAAATATACTCTCAAGTGACCTTTACTACTTGATCATATGAATGACAGTGAACATGATAGGGTAGTCTTCTTTATATATTAACTAGTCTTACAAGCCATCCAATTACCAGATCATTCACGGATCATTTTCTTGATTCAAAAAAGATAGCTCTTTTTAGAAAACAGGTTAGATGATTTCCTTGTTAGATATTTTTTTTCCAATCTGATAGACCTTGAAAGGAACCTTTTTTGTCATCTCTATCACTATGCATTGTTTCAAGAAAGTTTTCAAAATTACTGTACTTTGTCATTCCAGATAAAGCTGTTGTGTAATTTCTCTCTCTCTCCAGAGACAATAAATACACTGCCTTCTTTGGGAGCTGTTTCATTGTCCAGTTCCTACAATTATTTTTGGCTGTGACAGGGGACAAGGTGGATAGAATGACGTCTGATAAAGTAATGAATGCTTCTCATCTCGAAAGAAAGACCCATCCTAGAAAAAACAAGACATTAATGGAATGATCCCTCAGTCCTGTCACTTTAGCTGCTAGTTATTCCAGCAGGGCTCTGTATTTAACAGATGTAAAACTTGCTGTCCTCAAAAATTGGCTTCCATTTTCTGAAATGTAAAATACTGCTCCACTTAAGTCTAGGAATCATAGGTGTGGAATTGAAATATCAAGACCTCGCTGTGCTAAGTGGGGGTATAATTTTGCTAGAAAAGATTATGACTATTACATTAATAAACCGTTGGTGTGAGTAGGAACTGTGTTCTGTGTCCATAAGAGATTGCTCCCAATGTCATGGGGTTAAATAAATAAGGCTTTGCCGATACTTAAAAGTTTAAAGCGCAGCTGCAGCAGTGGCAGCACTTGGCAATGGCATGAGTGCTGGGAGACAGATTTTCTACTGCTCTAGATAAACCACCTCCACAAGGGGAGTAGCTAACAATTCTGGAAGCACAGCTCCCAGCGCTGTAGGTTGGTTCACACTGGCACTTTACAGCACTGTAACTTGTAGGGTTGCCAGATGGTTTCAACAAAAATACCGGACACACTTGACATTACATCACAATCTACATTACATCTTATTTAGAAAATACTGGATGTTTATATTTTCTCATTTATATTTTCTCAATTTGTTTCCCGAACAGAAAGCTCAAATACGGGATTGTCCAGTTCAAAACCAGACACCGGGCAACCCTAGTAACTTGCCGTGCTTGGTGTGTGTGTGTGTGGGGGGGGGGGGTTCTCACACCCCAAAGCCGGAAAGCTATATTGCTGTAAAGTGCCATTTTAGACCACCTCTGGTCTTGTCAGCACAGTGACTATTCAGACTCCATTACAGGAAGGTAGATGGTGTATGGCTGTTGTTGGTGAGTCAGTCATTTAGAAGCAGAATTTTGAAGAGCTTTAAAAACTATTCTGTCAGTGTTTGTTTATTGTTCAGGTAGGATGTAGCATTAGTACAAGAGAAGTGACCGCTTCAGATTGGCTAAGAAATGAGATTCTTCTTCATGTTCAGAAAATCTGACTCGTTATAAAGCATCTTTCTTTATAGGAAGATCTTTAAGCACCACTCATATGTTTTCTTACCAAGAGCAGTTGCCAGTAATTTTGTAATACTTCTAATTTTGGTTATACTGTATTTTTTCATTTCAAACATAAATCACTTATTTTAATCCTAGTAAATATTCAGTTGCCAGGCATTTGATGTTGCAAACCATAGTTCAGTAGCGGTCTGAATCTGGAAATAGGTTGGGTTTTTTTTGTTTTTTTTTGGTTGACTTTAAAAAGACCTTATATGGATATATGGTTATGCATACTCTCATAATACAAAGTCAGGCTGAAATTGTAGGACCCTATAGACCTGCAAGCTGTTATAGACTTACTTCAGTACCAAATCTTTGACTTTTGTAGTCACTCCTGAAGTTATACTTGGAATTTTCTTAGTATTCTATGAAAATAGAAGCTCATTTGGACTCTTGAGGGGGGAAAAACACTCACTTTTTATAAAGCTATTGCATTATTTAGAGAGCTTCAGAGGGGTAGCCGAGTTAGTCTGTATAGGATAAACTTAAAAACCAACAAATAGTATAGCAGCACTTTAAAGACTAACAAAACATGTACATTACTATGTACATGTTTTGTTAGTCTTTAAAGTGCTGCCATACTATTTGTTAGTTTTTAAGATTATTATTTAGAGAGAGAGAAACCAATATAGCAGTGGGAGAAATGAAGAATATTCAAGAAAGGATGTACATCATCCACAAAAGCAGCAAGGAATAGTTATCAATCCACAATAGAAATATCAGTGTTAACTGAATGCTCCTTATATTGTAAGTGTTGTGGTTCCTTAATTTAAATTTTATTTTCCCCTCTTGAGATTATTCCAGCCAATTATTTAAAATCATCCCCTCAACAATGTACATCACCAAAATCCCTTGTCCAAAGCAGAGTTTTGCACATACTGCAAAGGACTCGTGCTTCCTTGCATTCATTTTCAGAAGTTGATAATGGTCTGTGTATTTTATGTCCTCAGGCAAAGCTTTATAACAGCTTTTTATAAACTGCTTAAACTGTTTATTAAAAAATCCAAATATTTACAAAAAATGTTGAGCATTCCGAGAAACATGCTTGTTCTAGGAAGTTAGTTGCACAGATTCTTATTTCTGCATATTAAAAAGGCTCTGACAAAATTTGTAGAATTTGGGGTAAATCTTAATATAATGAAACCTTGTTACTCACCTCTGATGGCATCCAAATCTCAGCTAAGGTTGCTAAGTATTAGAATGGGAGTCTGTAAGTACAGTGGCTTTAGTTATTCTGTAGATAGCATTATTTCCAATGCATCGCAGTGGTGCCGGTGAACTTTGTCGTGTTGAACGTGCTGCCTTTCAGTAGAGATGAGGCCCTTGCCTGCTTCAGGTCAATAAGCTTGTGATAGTTTTCACAAGGATACAGTTAACAGCTGCTCTATATACAAGGCAACTGCCTCTTTGAATAATTAAATTCCAACTACCTAAATCCCTGCTGCAGTTTCTTGTTAGTTGTGGTGTATTCTTCACTAAAATGCACTAGGGCAGAGTGCTCTGTTTGACCATTATTGCATTCTGCCCCAGGGTTTGGCTGCTTTTAAGTGGGGATGGTGCATGTGACATCATAAAAAAATGTTGAGACCCTTCAATACAAAAGACATTATGTAAAGGGCAATACTGTACTTGAAAAATGCATAACAGTAAATTTGCAGTGAAATAGCTTAGCTTCAAATATCTGCAGATGCTTGTGTTCAGCAGCAAGTAGAAACTTTTTTTATGCTCCTCTCTGAAGACAACTTCCTGAGGGAACATTTCTCATTTTCCATGTTTACTTCCTCCGCACACTTGAGCAGCCTTTGGGGTAGCTATTCTTTTGTGTTTAAACACACACCTGAAGGATAGGAGAGGGGAAGGCTGCTTTAAAATGGGGAGTTCATCAGAAATGGTAATTCAGTAAGTAGTGTATGACAGATTGCCATCATGAGACAATAGAAACAAATATTAGAATCAAACTGTTAAATCAGGGATATACTTTGCATGTTGTGCAAAACAGTCACAGGTCCTGTGCAAAATCTGAGTTTAGTCATATTGAAATTGCTATGAAGTGTATTAGAAAAAACTTCTTAACTGTCAAGATTGTGGAATCACTCTAATTGGAATATTTAAGAGTAGGCTAGACAAACATCTGTCAAGGATGAATCTAGATGGTGCTTGTTCCTGTCATGAATGCAAGAGACTGGAGTTGACCTCTCGAGGTCCCTTCCAGTTCTAGTATTCTATTATTCTATTCAACCTATGCTCTATGAAGTTTTTACTTTTCAATATAAAAATTGCCAATTTTTCCAGCTGCTTATATTCTCTGTGGGGGAGAGATTTCCAAAGGCCCATATTGAGGATTTCTGTGGAATTTAGGACCCTGACTGCTATTCATACCTTTGGAAAGGTCCCCCTCTACTGGTATTTACACTTATTTTTTGAAAATATTATCTTACTTTGTTGTCTGTCTTTCTAGCCAATTAGTAATGCTGACTTCATTGTTCCTGTTGAAATTGATGGAACCATACATCAGGTAAGCATTGCTTTTAAACTGTGCTCAAGTTTGTTCATAGCCTATAGAATGTAAGGCCAGAAGGGACTTGTTTATCACATCAATATCTTGTGCACTATGACCTCTTGATTTTTTTGAGTCACTCTTTTCTAGAACGTATTTCCATTCTGTAACAATAGCCTTATTCTGTCTTCCTAGATGTATAACTTTGCATTTGACTGAATGTACAATTCAGATTGCTCTGTGTGACTGTGTCCTCATCGTTATTTAATTCTCTACCAGTCTCTGTCATCTGCACATTTTATCAACAACGATTTTATATTTAATTTGTACTGCATACAGATGTTCAGGGTTTTGAGTCATTTTCATTTTCTGAATAGCCATTTTAGTGACTTTATTTACTGCCTTTCAAAAAGACAAACAGGGGATCTTGCACATAAAAATACTTAAATATAGCTCATCTGTTTGTTACAAACTAAAAATAATCTGAAATTAAGTACATAGTAATATCCTTCAACTGAAATTTAGCAGGTATTCTGGATAGACTAAGTCCAGAGGGAATTGCTCCTGTCAAATGTAAGCAAAAATAAAAGCTGAATTGTGTGCAAAGAATATGTTCTCACTTCTACATAAAGTAAAGCCATGGCCTAGTTTGTCGGTTGCTCACAACACACATGAAGCTTGTAAAAAGCAGGATTACTACTCACATTCTTGTTTTATGTGGCATTTCTTGGAGGAAATGTAAATCTATAATTCCACTAATACAGTTCAGTTATAATGTCAGAAAAAAGTCACTTGAAACCTTTTAGGTTGCCTACTGTTTTGTATTGCATTTGTACTGTAGCCCTGGTGCTTTGGACCTTGGTTTCTGCAGGTTGAAATATTTCCTCAGTCTTAGTCTTTATTCAGCATTTATTACTGTCAGTTCTTAATTTTAAATTATTTCCATAATTATGATACTCCTTTATGCAAAAATGATAATTTTCAATTATTTGTCATAGATTTACAGTTGCCAAAATGGAGGTTTTCTTCTCAGATTGGTTAATGGCCTTCCTGATGAGTGGTGTCTAACTGCTAGTGTCCCTCTAACTACTTCAAAACTTTCTAGAATCGTCTCTCCAGGATTTTTATATCAATTTCTGACTCCTCTTGTGGATTCTAAGATTCTCCTAGCAGGAAGTGATTTAACACCATATTTGCAAACATTGTGTATCCAGGTAACATCTATTTCTAAGACATTTGTCATGCCCTAAAAGCACAGACTAATAAAGGCAGATTATAAATTGAAATTCCATATAAACAAACATTTTGTAAAAATGATCAACTATGCAAAATAGAGTTAAGTGTGCGCCAAGCATTCATGCATATATATTCCATCCTTTCACCTTTTACCTTTTATCTGTATTTAGATTTTAAGCTCTTCAAGTCAGGGCTCCTTGTAATCTTTTGTGTTTTTCAGATTTATAGTCTGCTTAGGGTAATATGGATCTCAATTTTTGGGACTTCTACCTTAAGTGAACTTGATTTTCAAAATACTCTGAACACTTATTCTCTGAAAAGCAGCCCTTTAGATTGGGCACCCAAAAGTGGAGGATCTCAGAATTACTAATGACTTTTTAAAATCTTGGCCCACATAAATAATACCCATTAGTTTCTCTCTTCTCCCCCCCCCCTCCCTCCCCC